GAGTCCTCTTGTCTCATGCCTCTCCATTTCTAAATTCCACCTGTCCTCCACGGCCCTACTCCTGAGTGACACATGTTTAGGAAAAAGACATGAGCTTTGACATCAGACTGACCCTGGTCTAAATTCTAGGTAAGACAGTCATGATGATGGAAAGAGGCTGCATTTTTCTGGATCAAATGTACCAAAAACTCAGAACCTGCTTTTGTTCAGCCACCTGTTCTTGCTTCTACACCCTCCTCCACAGGATTCTGTATCTCAGGAAAAACATCCTGAAGGAACATCATCATATGTGCTGCCATCAGCAGAAAGGTGGCCCCACTTCCACTCTACTCCAGGAAGGCAGGCTGAGCCACGTGGGGGCTGCTTTTGCCTGAGCAGAAGGTGACCATAAGCCAAGTCATCCAGGAGGCTTTCTCTCTAGAACTCAATTCTCCAAAGGGAAAAAAGGTAACCACAAAGGAAAACACCCTGAAAATAGGAGAAAAGGAATTTATAACACCAAGAACAGAGTTTCTCTTTTTAGCATGTCACCTAGGACTTTTCTGAGTGAAGCAATTTCTGGACAGCTAGGACCCTAACCTTTACATACAAGCCCACAGGACTTAAGAGAGTGGAGAAAGAAAGATCAAGGTGGGTTGGCAGATTGGGCCTTACTGCTCTAAGACGAGACCACCAGCCTCTACTGCTTATTTCCTCCTTGACCATCTAAGTCCCAAGCTTATCCCTTAGAAGACCCCAAGACCTTCAGAGCAACCATTGGCCTTTTGGCAAAAAAAAAAAAAACTTTTAAAAACATAATTCTCATATGAATTTAATTTATATTAAAAAATAAATTTAATTGGGAATGAAACCACCATTTGACCCAGCTATCCCTCTCCTCGGTCTATACCCAAAGGATTTAAAAACAGCTCACTATAGGGACACAGCCACATCAAAGTGTATAGCAGCACAATTCACAATAGCTAAACTGTGGAGCCAACCTAGATGCCCTTCAGTATGAATGGATAAAAAAAAATGTGGCATATATACACAATGGAATATTACTCAGCAGTAAAAGAGAATAAAATCATGGCATTTGCAGGTAAATGGATGAAGTTGGAGAAGATAATGCTAAATGAAGTTAGCCAATCCCCCAAAAAACAAATGCCAAATGTTTTCTCTGATACAAGGAGAATGATTCATAGTGGGGTAGAGAGGGAGAACCCGGGAGGAATAGATGAATTCTACATAGGGCAGAGGGGTGGGAGGGAAAGGGAGGGGGCAAGGGATTAGCAAGGATGGTGGAATGTGATGGGCATCATTATACAAAGTACATGTATGAAGACATGAATTGGTGTCTACATACTTTATATACAACCAGAGATATGAAAAATTGTGTTGTATATATGTAATAAAAATTGTAATGCATTCCACTGTCATTTATTTTTTTAAAAAATCAATAAAAATTAATTTAATTTACAAAAAGAAAATGAAAAACAAAGACCTTCCAGTCCAGTGATTCTGTAGGCAGGATTCCAAAGGACAAGCGCCCTAAGAGTTCATGGGTCTACTTCAGTTTTTATCTTTGATGAATTTGCCCCAATACTTCCTCTAGCTGACAGTGAGATCCTGCATCCCCTGGGACAGAGGTTTCCCAGGAAGATCTTGTACTCAGCCACTGCATCTTACCCACATCCACTGCTGTCCAGTCTGTGCCAGGCTCTCTCCCCTCATCACCACCAGATCACTGCCCTGACACAACTTCACTGTTCTGTATTTGCCCCTAAATATGTGCAAAAATAATAATGAATATTTCATGATTAACAATTTTGTTTGCCCTTTTAGAATTCCGAAGAGCTTCGGGGGAGCCACAGCCAGACCTAGTCTGTTAATAAAAGATGCCCACCGAAATCTGTGCTGAGGTCTCTTTTCTCTATCAGTTTTGCTACACAAGCAGAGGCACACCAGTACCTTTGGAGGTAGAGGTGTTTCTCTTCAAGTTACAATGACAAAGGTGGCATCTCTCGCACTGAAGCCATTAGCAAGGAGCTTACTCAACATTTGGCCCCCTTACCCTACCCACCTCCTTCCTTGGATCAGCTGTTCAGATTCAGATAGAAAGGTAAGGTAATGTGAAACAATCATTTCTGTCTCTGTCAAAGGACTGAATTGACACTTTGTTGGCAGCCTTCAGAGCACTTCACACTTCTCTGGAAGATGTTGAAAGCAATTTATAGTTTCTCAGCACATATAATAAATAGGTTCTCAAAACAATATCTCTCAAAATTGCCAACAGTATCCAGGCTGATGGAGATAGTATTTTTCCTCTGTTGGTTCCCCCTGGGAGATATTACCAAATAATTATAAAGACTATAAAGATTGAGGTAGCAGTTCAGTGACCATAAATCACTGATTTTCTGTGACAGACTTATCATTGCCCAAAAAATATGTCCCAGAAAGGACAAAGTCCTAGGATCATATTACCTCTCCCGACCTGGTTTTCTATTCAGAAGTTCAAAAATGCTTGGTCAGACCAGGAGGGGTGGATATCTGGAGTCTTTGCCTCCAACCATCCATCAGCATTATGCTAATAACTTTTCCACTTCTTCCTCTGGAATCGCCTCCCTCCATAGTCCTGGTACGCTGGGTCCATGTTCAGCCCATGCCCAGCTCCAAGGTGAACGTGTAAGGTGAGTTTAAGCCAATCAGCACGTTGCATCCTCATGGATTGATTCAAAGATGTTCTCTTGACTCAACCAGAGCCAACAAGATGTGATAAGATGCTGTAAGGCTACTGGGAGGAAAACAGGGGTCTTCATTGAAACCTGAAGGAGGACAGAGTATATGCCTGCTGCTACAGGGAACCTGACCTGAGACCATGGCCAGGACAGCCACAGAGAGAAACTTGGTTTTGAGAACACTGAACCCTTAGATTCAGCTGTTCCTGAAACCATCTATAACCCTGGACTCTTTCATTATAGAAGCCAAAAAAAAATTTTTTTCTCTTGCTTAAGTAAGTTTTCATTAAGTATTCTTTTATTTCAAAACAAAACCAAAAACCATGAATACCCCACCATGTACCTTGATTTTAAGTTTGAAAAACACTCAATGAAGGTGAAAGTGATGGGACAATGATTGCCTGTTTTCATATCCCCTAGGGTGTCTAGCATCTTAGGCACACGATAGCTTCCCAATAAAGCGTGTGTGTGTTTCACTAATTGAATGAATGTACACAGACAGAAAGTTAAGAATATCTGGGAACCCTGTATTTTAAAGCAATGATCACTGAAATTAGGATCTCTAGGGTAAATATACAACTGCTGAGCAATCAAAGGAATGGAACTCACTAAATACTGAGTCAAAGGTTAAAATTCCTGGAGCAAGATGGCACTCACTGACTGAGCTCTTGGTCAGGTCCCCTGTTTCCCTGAAATAGGGAACAACTAAACATGAGGAAAGTCCCCTTCCCACTGACTCCCATTTGAGATGCACTGATGGAACAGGAAACAATCAGATTCAGAGCTTCTGAGTGTCTCCCATCGCAGAAGGTTGTGCAGGTGTAGACTGAAGGGGCAGCCTCCATTTATAGAAGAAGCTCATGAAGGTCCATGGCAGCCTCCGACTGACATGAGCAAATCAGACATCCTGGAAACTGTGAAAACTCTTTTCAGATCTAGAAGACCCAGAACTCCAAGAACAAAGCATCTTCATAAGACCCCCAAAGTAAGGAAGAACTGGGATCTGAGCAGGAAGGGCTTCACAAAATGGTTTTGTTCTCATTCACTGTGGCTGGTGTTTTCCCTCTCAGCACCTTACTCCTGGAGACCAGGCCTCTTGCACATCTTATTGGCCAGAGACTACTTTTTATAAAAGATTTGGGAATTAGTGTGAGTAAAGGAACACTAAGAATAGAAAACCAAAGAAAAAGAGAGATGTGTGGAATGAGGCCAGTGGTGAAATTTCCCAGGCACTGACAAGTCAATCCCAAAACCTCCTTGCTATTATTTAGGTGTGAGGGGACAGGCTCATGTGTGAGATGATGCAGGAAAGTTTTAACAGGTGAAATAACTGGGTTATGAGAATCTTCATCTAATCAGTGTTTTAATCCCCTAATAGGAATTAACTGGTGAATGTAGGCAAGTAGGGTGTGGCTAGAGGAAGTGGGGCATTGAGGCGTGCCTCTGGGGTACACATTTAGTCCCTGAAGAGTCTCTCCCTCTGCTTTCTGCGTGCCATGTTTCCAGCTGCTTTTCTTAGCCAAACATTTCCACCATGATGTTCTAACTCACCTGGCATCCCAAGGAATGGATCTGGTTGTCTATGAACTGAGACCTCTGGAACTGTGAGCCCCAAAATAAACTTCCCCTCCTTTAACATTGTTCTTCTTCAATCTTTTCAGTCACAGAGGCATAAAAGCTGACTAAAACATTTCTTTTTTTTTTGAACAAAGTATGAGATTCCACTGCCACAGTTGTATTCTTTCAATCTTCTGGATTTTTATCATTAAAATACAAATCTCTTTGAAGACAAACTAGTTGAGACATTAACATTAACTTTAGTCATTTGGTTCTCTGTGTGAAAGCTCTGTGACTACAGAGGAAAATGTGAAAACTTAAGAATGCAGACACACCAAGAAAATGAGGAAATGAGACTCCACTGAGAGGGACTTACATTTGGACAAGTGGTACATGGAGGGGCAGATCATAGACTTGGGTCAAAAAGACCTGGATTCCAGTCTTGATTCCCCCACCTACTGTTATCCTGGCTAATTCCTTAACATCTTGGAAATTCACCCATTTTCTCCATGAAGTGAGAATAAATACCTACATCCATGACCTTGAGCATTGAATGCTCTCTGTCTTGAATATGCACATGCTCCTTGCCATTCACCTGGCTAACTCCTGTTACTACAGGACTGGGATTTCTGGGAAGCTGAGGTAGCACAAGACCCTCTCCCCTGACACACACACTTCAAACCTCAATTCTTACACAACAAGTCAGAAAGATTTCAGACAAGTCGCTCAGTAACAGGCATGAGTTTATTTGAAGGGATAGAAAAGAGGAAAGAGGGACATTCTCAAAGTAGAGAGTGGGGCCTTCTCACGAAGAGAGGGACAGCACGCCTCTCTTGCTTTCCAGTTTTATCAGGGGTCCCAGAGAAGTTTCCAGAGTGTCTTCCCAGGTCCCCTTCTTGAGTTTTGACTGACAGCAGAGTGACATCAGACTTTCAAGTCCTGACTGCCATGATAATTCTAGGTCCCTTTGGCCCATGTTGACTGGTTTTAATTGGAACCTGTTCTTACAGAATTTGTGGTTGGAGGCACTTATCTTTATCTCCCTGAGTTCTGGGATCTGGTCTGTGTAAGGGTCACAAAAATTCACCCCCTACCTTTAGAATAAATCATGTTCTTTCTATCAGCATTTCGGGGCCTGCATTTCACCTGAAGATAACAGGTAGTTTGCTGAGGAATGTGACATATCCTATCATCTTAAGCCAGTCAGAGCTGCAGGTAAATTGGGAATCAGCACCCATTTTATAGAATGCTTCCCTTAACTTTATGCTCCCACTGTTCATGTCTGTATGTCCCCTACCACCATGAAGCTATCTCCATGTCACTTCCTTCAAACGACTGGATTGGGGAGGTTCCCCTCATCTGGGTCCCAAAGAATCCACCTTCATAGAGCAGAAGCTGCATCAATTGTCCCTCTTCATGTTCTGTGCTGGGACTTCTTCCTGTCTCCACCAAAGTAAGAGAGCTTTAAGATACGTTAGTAAGCACCCTGTGCGGAAGAAATTTTCTCTTGCCTATTTTTGCCTATATTTCCATCTATTCCTTCTGCTCCTTCTACTTTAGTGTGCATTATAATAAACAAAGTTATTGGGTGTGGGGGAAGCACTCAGGATATCATGCAGTGCTTTCTCAGTGCTTTGAAACCTTGAAAAAACAAAGAGAGACCTGAAGGGCTCTCACCTGGCAGAGACAGCAACAGCTGGGTGTCAGTGGGCCAAGGCAGAGCAAGGACACTCAGCAGGAGGCTCTCCATAGACCATGCAGGGAAGAGCGCAGACAGGGCTGAGAGGGAGAGGGGGCAGCCACATCACTTCTGTTTTTCTCAAACCAGCCTCCTCACCTGGAAGGGAAGTTTGAAAGGACATAAGATGGAATTGAGATGCTGTTATTAGGTAAGTTGAATGTAAGGTCAAAAGCATGGCATGGGGGTAGAAGCAGTCACTTTACAACGATTAAGGCTGCAAACCAGGAGGTAATGCAATCGTGAACCATTAGGAATCAAGGAACCAGGCAGCAACATTTGTAAAGTAAAACCACAGGAAGTGGAAGAGAACCTGACCAAAAATGTAAAAGTAATAAAAGGTTTTAATGTTCCTTTTTAGCTCTCCAACAGATAAAGCATATGAAAATAAGGAAGGAGATAAAGTGTGTAAACAATGTAATAAAAATTATGTTTTCCTAGGTTGCTATGGTGCATTTACAAAAATTACCGTCTTTGTAGGCATAGATTCCAAGAAGCTGTTATAATACAAACCACATTCTGAGACTGCAATATAATAAGACAATAAATAAGTAGCAAACAGAAGCACAGAAAAGCCAAGCACTTGAAAAAGGGGGAAAAAAACATCTTTCCTACTTAGCTATTGGGTCAAAAATAATAGATACATTGCAATCGTTAAATATCTAAAAATTAAAACAATAACATTGCATGTTAGAACTGGAATACATCAAAATTATGCCCAGAGGAAAATTCTTATCCTCAGACATTTATATTACTAACCACAAGAGCATTCAAAATAGAAAATTAAAAAAGGGAAACAATTTAAGAGAAACGTTCAAGGAAACTATAAACTCAAAAAATAATGAATCAGTAATGAACAAATAATAGAATAAACTAATTTTAGAGCAGATATTTTTGTAGCAAAAAAAAATCAATACAACCAATAGAACATTAGTCAGCTAATCAAGAATAAGAGAGAAAGCATAAAATTGTAAAATTAGGAATAATTGTAAATCAGGAATAAAGGGAAATAACAAATGCATGGAAATCCTAAGACACAAAAGAAAACACATTGCCCGACAATGTTAGTAGACTTGAAAATATGAATAAAACGTATGGTTTTCAAAGGAAAAATATAAAATAACAAAACTGAAAAAATAAGAGAGAAGAAATCATGGCGGAAAATGTGATATCAAAAGCTACCCTCTCTACATCTCCCATCCACCCAAAATACCAGGGCTAGGTGATTTTACAAATGAATTCCAGCATATATTTGAGAGGAAGATAATCCTAATATTTTTAAAAAAAAATATGGCCCCAAAGAAGACCTAAAGAAAGAGACAAATTCCCCTATCACTAGACAAATGAAGTCACTGGCTTACATTTTAAAAAGAGCACCTGGGACAGGAGACAGTGTTTTTGCCACAATCAGAAAATACAGTGTCCTACTCTCATGCCTGCAATTGTGGTCTTCTTCTGTAACGGTCCTTGTCCAATGCCAATTCAGTAATGAGGACTTGGTGTTGAGAAAAAGGAAAAAGGTGGTTTATTGCTTTGCTAGCAGAGCAGAAACACAGGAGACTGCTGTCTCAAAGGCTGTGATTCTGCCCATCAGCAGGAACAGGGGGCTTTTAAAGAGGTGACCATGTGTTCCCTGTCTGGGTTGTAATTCACTTGTTAATTTGGGAGAGTCGTTTCTGAGATCTTTTAGTACCATCTCCAAAGTCTGGGTTACTTCTTTCCACTGGTAGGTTTATACTCAGGGACAGATAACTCTTCCTAGGATGGAGAAGAAAGGCAATCTTCCTTCCCCTGAGATTAAGGAGGCGGGGTTGGAGATTAGGGAGAAGCAGGGAGAGAGGATGAGAAAGAAACGTGTCCTTTTTAAAAATAAGTTGCAATGGCAGAGCAGCAATGGCTATACTCAAAGCATAAAGTGGACCACTGTTATAGCTGGGTCATTAAAGCCAAGCTTAAGACACTTTAGAAAATTGAAACCTTGAAGGGTGTGTTCCTGACCACAGCGCACAATGGAATTAAATTAGAAAAACACACACATACACGCACATATATTATATATGCACATATACACATATATACATACATATTACATATTATAAATTAAATAATGCATTTCTAATAACTCTTCGGCCCAAAAAGAAATCACAGGAACAATTAGAAATATTTAAAAGTAAAATAAAAATAAGATGTAACACCAATATTAATGGGATACAGCTAAAGAAGTTATTATTTGGAAATTTATAGTTTCCAATGTTCAAATTAGAAATGAAAAAAAGCTACAAAAAGAATAATCTAAGTTCCCACCATAAAAAGCTAGAAAATAATAAGCAAACTAAGCTAGATGCTGAAGCAAGTAAAAGGAAAGATACAATAAAAATAAAAATAGAAACCATTAAAAAATAGATAACATATAATAGAGGAAATCAACAAAACTGAGTTGGTTTAGAAAATATTCATAAATTTTAAAACCCCTAGTAAGACCTAACAAAGAAAAAAAGAAAAAGTTTACAATACCAGAAATGCAAGTAGGAAAATCAATATAGGTCTTATAAACTTTTAAAAATAAGAGAATATTATGAATAAATATGTCAATATATTGAGCAAGTTAGAAAAAAACAAATGAATTCCTTTGAATACATAACATGGCACAACTGACAAGAGTTAATATAAAATATGAATAGCCCTATAACTATTCTCATTTAATTTGTAATAAAAAATTTTCCTACAAAGAAAACTCAAAAAGGATAGATGATTTCACTAGTGATTTAAAAAAGACATATCATTTGATTGCCTTAACAGAAACAGAAAATTATCTGACAAGATTCAATATCCATTCATAATTTTAAAACTAGGAACAGAAGGAACTTATGAAATTAATATATGAAAAACAAGGCAAAGTTGTCCAGTGTTCAACACCAGACTCCCAGGAGTCCTAGCCTATGCAATAAGGAATGAAGATAGATGTTCATAAAAATTGAAAAGGAATAAGTAAAATGTTTATGTACAGTTGACATGACTGAAATTTTCATGAAAAATAAATGAATTTAGCAAGATCATAGCAGAAAAGTTCAATGCACAAAACAGTAAATATTGGAAAATGAAACAAAAATGTCAACTATAATACAGTCAATAAACATAATTTAATAATAAATTTAATATAAGGTGGGCAATACTACTGTCATTTTAATGGCTCCATTATTTTAGTAAAAATAATGGGATCCAGAAGCTGCAGAGGCCAAGGGGTAGAACTTAACTGTCAGAGCCAAGGTTGGTGTAGTTAATGGCCTGGGAAACTGAGATGTCATGGCTATCAGAATGTTTTGACTCCCCTGGACTTTGGCAGTGGCTAACTGATCACAGCATCTTCAGGAATAAGTTGACAGCCTACTAAAAAAAACCATTCCATCTATAAACTGGAAATACTCTAAATCTGGCAAGAATAAGCTTGGTGAATTGCTCTCCTCCTTGAAAGCAAGATTGGGCCTCTCTTGGAAGGTCCCCATTAATGTAAATATTTGCACAAGTCTTAACCCAGAAGGACTTGTGGTCATTTACTAGGTTTGCTTTGCCCTGGCAGGAAAACAGGTGGAACTTTCAGGATTAGTAGTCATGAGCCCTTCATTGAAGTTAGTAACGCAACCCTGCTGACACAGCATTTAATACTGAGGCATGTGGAGACCTGGTGACAAGTAGGTGGGGCCTGGGAATATCTCAAAGTATGTCCAGTGGACCTACAAACACCCTGTGGTTACTTCCCCATTTCCAGCACAGCACACTCAGCAACTGGCAGAAGCCCCACACTGACCTCCTGAACTACAGAGGGGTGACTATCACGGTCAAGGGAGGTAAGTGGAGCTTCTGGAACTTCCTTGCTCTGCCCAAATAATTAATCCAAAAGAAACCTTGCACCCCACCAGGAGTCACAGAGACCTCAATACAAGAGTGCTAATCCCTTTATCATTCTCACTTAACTCCTTTGTTTGGCCTATAAAGCAAACAACTGGATCTCAGAAAATGAAAATGGATTATTTTTAAAAAACTTGATCAGGTGGTGCTCCAAATATAGTATGCTTTTAATGGAGCAAATCAGTGCAGCCCTTGGCAACTGCAGGCAATTATTGATTTGGCAATGTTCTCTCTTGCCCTCCCTCTTGCCTTCAGAGGTCATTTGCTCTCATGTTAGGGACAACAATACACCTATCCTCTCTTGCCTCAAGGCTATTTTAACTCTTGTTTTCTGTCACAATCTTGCCATAGGGACTTAATCATCTTACCATTCTATAAAACACTGCACAGATCCACTATACAAGTGACAAATCATGCTGATTGGACCTGGTAGAGAGGAAGAGGAAAACACCTATTACTCATATGCTAGTGGATAAGAAATGATGGTCGGAAAAGCTCAGGAACCAGCACACTTTCTAGGGACCTAATGGTCTGAGATTTTGTTGGGATATTCCCTCCAATAAAAATTGTTTCTGCTCCTTGCTTTGCCTACCAGGGAAGAAGAGATCCAATGCTTGATAAGCCTCTTGGATTTTGAAGGCAATTATATATGACATTTGAGTTGCTGCACTGAACTATTTATTAAGTAACCCACATGACCCCAGTTTGACAGAACAAATGAAGGCTTTTTAGCAAGTCCAGTGAAGTTCAAGTTATTCTGTCACTTAGATCATGTACCCCAGCAAATACAGTGCTACTTGGAGCAACTGAGACAAATAGGGACACTAAATAAAGGCTATGATATTCTCCCAGAGGATCATAACATAAGATCCGGGGGGTTGGTAGCAAAGCCCATGAGCACTCCATGCAATTAACTGTTCGGCTTCTTCACAGACAACTTTTAAGCTTATGGCCCCAGAGAGATGGAGTACCTACCTGTGAAACAACAAATAACCAGAAATGAGCTGCTCTTCATGAAATTGGTGGCACCTGATCCAGGCTTGTGAAGTGCTCCATCATGTAGTAAAATGGTATATAGACAAGATCTATATTTAGCAGGTCCTATGGATGCAAGTCAATCACAGGAGCAAATAATTGAGATGCTTGTGTCACCTCCCCTCAGCTCAAAGCTTCAGGATTATGGAAAATTATTA